TTAACTCCTGACTAATTAAAAATGAGCAAAGAGGTGGATCATCTGTGGGACAAAGACTGTCCATTGATGGAACATAACCATGAGCGTCAGTATAATTTAAAGAGGTAAAATTACTCCTTTGTAAAGTCGTCGTTAACAGGGAAATTAATCATTAATCGTTTTTTGGTACCAGGCTGTTATCGTGTTTATTTCTCCTGTAAAGGTGGACATTTTAACATGGGAGTCTATCAGGATTGACTTTCTTTTTGGTGCTGGCCTCAAGTGGCCATTCTAGGAACTGCAGTTTTTAAATTGATTACTCATTAATGGGTTAATGGCTTAAATGATCTGTAATTATTTAAAAATATATAACTATTACTCATTAATCAAGCAATTTGTCACAATCTTTAACCTATATGTTCAGTTCTGGATGTTTACAATGGAGCCATTGGGTATTTTTAATTATGCACACCTAACTGGGGAATTTGTTTAAAGACTCACTTTTTTAATGGTGCCCTTTCCCATATTCCTCAGCAATGAACTTGAATACAGTCCTACACTTATCAATAGGAATGTCTGTCAAATTAAAACAACAAGTCTTCGATAGCTAGGAACTGGAATTTCCCTTAAAGTGTGTAGTAATTAGTCTTAAGGTCTCATTGTGCAGGAAAACCCCAAACAGCAAACCCTAAAAACGCACTCAGGCCCTGGGAGGAGCTAAACTGGGACACCAAGTGGAGAAGAATTTTTTTTTTTCTTTAGGAAGCAGCACTGTACTGCAATGTACTCACAGAGGCTCCACTGTTTGGTGTCCAGAAGAGAGTAGCAAGACAGGCGGAGGGGCCCCCTTCTCCATACAATGGAACACAAACACAACAATCCCTTTATTCAGCTGTTTGGACCTGCCATCTGAACAGCAGCTCGTCATTAAATTAACATCACAGCAGGCGCGCGCCCTGGCCCTTGCTTCCCGGAGCATTGTGGTGCACTCAGGAGGAAACTCATTCTTTCAGGGGATACCAGGTCAAAAAGCAGGGATGGCATAGACTCTTCCTAGCAGTCTTGGCGTTGAGGAATGGGAACAGTCGCCGTGCTGCTGTGTTAGTCCTCGCGAGGCAGAGTGTTGAAAGGACAACCTTTTAATCCCTGGCAGCCGTGAAGGACAAAGACAGATTTGCTTTTTGTTTTTGATGTTGTGCCACTTTCTCGCCATATCCACCCCGACGACAGGACTGTAGTCCACGCCAAGGCCTCTGACCACTGGTGAGGCTGCGACACATTTCACTGCAGTAGGGCCAAGGTTGTGTTGGCCGCCGCCACAGACTCATGTGTTGTGCACCTGCTCGGGGGAAGTGTCTTGAATGAGTTCCCCAATGGTTTTTTCAACAGAAGGATTTGTATGTTAGTAGTGCACAGCCTGGCTCAGGCAGCGGACCGTAAATTAGCTCCTGAGCAGCACTGAAACACATTTTAAACAACACAAAAGAAAAATAATTATTAACACAGAAGCATCTGAAAACTAAGAAGCCACACAAAAACAGAGTACAGACACTTGACCTTGTTCATACTTCAAAATGAATAGATTCAGTTATCCAATTCAAACAGTTAGGTCATGAATGGCAAACCTGTGTGAATGAGTTCGTTTTGTTTTAGTCAGCCTATTCTGTTTGCCTCAAGCGTTTTGGCATTTAAAAAACCTTTCTGGGAAACAAGCTCATCAGAGGAGGACAGAGAGTGCAAGTAAAGCAAGTAAAGGGGAACATTTAAACCAACAACAGATTTTTTTGGGTGCACACAGGAACAAGTTGTGAACAAACAACTTTAATTGTAAGCTGATTTGACAAGCTTGTTCGCAGCCAGTTGATTATTCATTTAGCCATTTCAGAGCATTAATATCATTTATAAGACTTGTTTGTAGCCCCCTGATGAATCGATGTTAAAAAATACTGTTTTATAGCTCCGTTTTTGGTCTCCACCGCCTCCTGATTGAAATATCTTGTTCATTAGCTGCATAGTGCTCCGTTTTGTTTGCCAGCTAGATGTCCCGGTGCTTTTTTTTTTTTTTTGGTGCTAAGCAGGTAATGTATTTTCAACTTTTTCACTCTTTCAATAAACATTTAATTCTTTTTTTTTTTTTTTTTTTAAACATCCACAGAAATGTTTGAACTCTAGCTGAAGTGCGAGTATATGTTAGCCATTTATTTCTTTTCACTGTCCTACCTGTGCCTGTCTACCATCCATCTGTCCATCCGTCCACCTGGATTCCATGTTTGGGGCTACATTTGGTTCTAAGATTTTCGATTTCTACAATATATATATCACATGTGGCTCTCCTCTCTGTTTCCCCATGTTTTGTATTATTATCTACTGCCAGCTGTTAAAATAAACGTGATAAAATGTTAAAATAAGAGAAGAAAGCATCTTCACAGTAGTGTTGTGTGAACTTTATCTTCCTCTCTAAAACTTAATAAAAGATAATAAACTGTTGCTCATAACTTCAAATAGACTCCAGATGGAGAGAACTGGCTGTAAAATTGTTTTCACATATGCTTTTCAGCTTTCCCATCTACCCTTTACTTTACTTTGCAGCACAAATATCGGTACATCCCACATTCCTAATAGCTATCCAGGTATCATAGCACCAATCCTTCGTGACATATGTTTTAATTCTGCCTCAGCAATGGTTCTTTTCAGTTTAATGTTTAATGATATAAACTGCTTCCATTAGTGCGTCTCTTCCTTCCTTTTCACTGGGTTTTGTATTCGAGGTGCTCGACTCTAAGTTCATCTACCTGGTGAGTAAAACGAGTGGCGGCATAGATCACTGGGCAATCAGGTTGGAAAGGTTAGTGAAGCAAAAGAGGTCAGATAGATGAAGTGACAACTACACTACAATAACACTGCCTCCTCATGACAAAACCAAGGGTCACATGAGAACAATCGTCTTTGTTTCCACCTTACATGGATTTTCTCTTTGAATTCCAAGATATATATATATATTTTAAACATAACAAAAATCTTCTGAAAATTTAAAACCCATTGTAGAAAAATAAAAAATAAAAAAAATGAAAGCTCCTATGTCAACTGTCTTTACAACTCATGTAAATGTGCCACTGTGGCATTAGTCGAGCTGTAGCGACGGAGCCTCTGGCTGTGTCACTGCTCCAGTCTGTCTGCTCTTATCTTGCTGCCCAGCTCTGTCTGTAATCTTGTTGCCTCAGCGCTGTATCAGACACAAAGGCGTGTCTCTCTGGAGTGTCTGCGAAGAAGCAGAGCAAGCGAGGAATCACAGCAGGGAGTTTGAGGCTGGAGCATGATGGGAGGTGAAATTTTTAAACCTGAGGCTCTATTAAAGGGACAGTCCAGTTTTAGGAAGTGCATCTGAAGCGACATCTACACTAATATGGGTTTAAAATAATGTAAGTTTAAAACAAAAATGATCCCTGTCTTGGGCTGCAAGGTGGTGCAGTTGGTAGCACTGTTGCCTCACAACAAGAAGGTTGCCAGTTCGCGTCCCGGTGGGAGCACCCGGATCTTTCTGCGTGGCGTTTACATGTTCTCCCTGTGCAGCGTGGGTTCTCTCCGGGTTCTCCGGCTTCCTTCCACACAGTCCAAAAACATGTTGAGGTTAATTGGTGATTCTAAATTGTCCGTAGGCGTGAATGTGAGTGTTCTTGGTTGTCTGTCTCTACGTGTAGCCCTGTGATAGACTGACGACCTGTCCAGGGTGTCCCCTGCCTTTGCCCTGAGTCTGCTGGGATAGGCTCCAGCCCCCCACGACCCTAGTAAGGATTAAGCGGTGTATAGATAATGGATGGATGGATCTCTGTCTTGATGATTGTTTTAGATCTTTTTCAGATCTCTACATGCTAGCTAGCCCGAAAGTACATATCACATTACTAGTATGGTTTGGGTTGCTTAGCAGGAAATACTACAGAGGAAGACAAGCAGTGGCGAAAAGTAAAACCAGACATTTCCTCAACAGCACAACAACCGCAAACATAGTTTAATAACCCACTGGGAGTCCAGGCTATGTGTCTTTGTTTTCTTACAGAAAACAGTGAAGTGGTAGGAATCTGGTAAATCAAGAGACAATATATAGTGCCAACTTAGGCCAATCAGAAAGTAAACAGAAGTTTTCAAACTGAGACAGGCTCAGCAATGATACCAAACGTCTCCTATTTTGTTAAAGGTCCTACAACTCCATCCATATTTGTGAGTTTTCTAAAGTAGCCTTCTGTGTATTAACTGAATGCATATTTATTGACAGTACAATGGCACATCACATGTCATATTATAGCTTACGAAACATTTCCCTAATTGTTGTTGGTCTCTATTGCTAGTTTCAAGTCCTATACAATACAACATGATTATCATCTTGCAAATTATGATAAAGCAAAGTATGCTTTTGGACCACCTTGTAATTGTCAAGTCTTGCTGTGCATATAGTCCTCAAGCTCTCAGTCACATCCTGCCCAGTATGTCTGGTTTCAAAAGACCAAGATGACGACAGCCAAATTCCATACTTGAGGCTTCAAAACAGCAGCTCTACATCCGTCTTTTATATACGGTCTGTGATACTTTACTCATTTTGGAAGCTTCCATAGCAAAAAAGACTTAAATTGCAACCTAGATTTTGACTGTGGAACTTCTGACCATACTTAAGAGCCCAGCTGGATGTGGGGAGGTGTGGTCTGATCTTCTTGTGATGGTAAAGTACTTGCTGCAGCTTCATTGCTTCACAAGATTTAAAAAAAAGAAAGAAAGTTCTGTTAGTTGTCAGAGACAGCTAGATCATTACGCTGGGTGCAGTTACTCTGTGAAAATGATATGCTGGTGAATACAGTGCTTTTTGCCCTGTTTTCAAGGTAAAGAATGGAATTTGAAGTTTAGTATTTGTTTTTTGTTTAAAGATGCTGAGTTTTTGGCCACTAGTAGTGCTATAGAACAATACTTATTGAACTCCATAAGGCACATAGGGTGATATAAAGTTACAGTATCCCATAAAAAAGGCGCTCATAAACCAGTTGTACCATTTTTTTTTATTGTTTCCTCTCATCGTACATGAACACTCAATTGATGCAACTGATGACTAAATCCTATGTAAACGGCTGACACCAGGGTTGTAGATATGGACACTGAGATATCCAGCTACTGTACTGCAGACACAATACTCACTACAAATGACCAGATTACAGAGACACTGCTATTGTTCATGGAGACTATGCATATTGATGCTGAGAGATTACACAGAATACTTTGCAAATGTGTTAGCATGTTAGCATGACGGAGTGTTGCCAGGTTTAAACGATCCCGGGTTTCTGCCTCGTCCTGACGAAGGCTGCAGAGCTTCACTCCCGGACGTAAATTCGCGTGCACACTACGTCATCTGCCCCGAAAGTCTGGAGGAGAAAAAAAAAAAAACGATAATTTCAGCCATCTGTTTTTCACATTAAAGCTGTGCACTGTTTTATTTCAACAAACAGTGTGGGCCTCAGGGTGCTTTCAAAGTCCTTCAGTGTCTTTGAGACTGTGTCCACTATTACAAACACCAGAATCAGAAGATGCCAAGGTGGACAACTGTGGACGCCTTCTTTTTTTCTTCTCCAACTACTTCTGTCACATTTTGAGTGTAGAGCCAACTGGACAATTAATGCAACTGTCTGAATGCATATGCATGTATCATCTTCTGGGCTAAACCCATCAAGACAACAAAGACAAATACGAACAATGTGAACATTTTTGCCTTCAAACAGTCATAGACATGTAGTACAAACTAGTTTGCTTCGACATTCATACATGTCAACCCCTTTAAATGATCACCTATGTCACCCACTAAAAAAAAAGCTCCATAAAGCATCTATTGAAAATCTGTATAATCTATAAGTGGCAGCAAAATGTGTTAGATATGGACAGTTTATTGAAAAATCTGCAAAAAGCCACGTTCAACTGCATCATAATACCAGCAAAAAGCCAACTTTTTCTCAGTTTCTTCAACTGACTGTTGAGATTATACATGACCACAAAATTTTTTCAGTTTTTTGTAATTTCATATGAGAATTTTATGCATTTATTATCACTGTTTTCTCTGCAACTGCTTTGAAGTTGCTCCTCTGGAAATAGCTGATGTCACAGCTCTGCACCAGTCAGGACTCAGTCAAATCTGTGCCTAAAACCACTGCTTATTTACTATGTAGTGCACACAATGTTAAAATGATGTATGTAAAGGTGTCCACTATATCTACATAATGCCCTCAAAAGTTCCTCTACCAATTTAGAAATGAGTCTACATGGCAGGAGGCATTAGTGATGTGATGTTGAAAACTCTGTCGGTAGTTGGCAGGTTGTTTAGTCAACTTTTCAATGTGATTTGACTGACAAATGAGAATTACAATGCATGTGCTCATAGTTGTGGTGCAACAGATAAACAGCAACAGTCAGAATCATAATAAGAGTTTTACTTTGATTGTTGCATTTTTACTCATTATTGTTTAATGTGACAGGGAAATACTTTCAAGAGCTTTGGGAATCCAGTTTGTTCAGATCCCTTTTCGTATTTTTGTATTTAATTTTGAAACAGCCTGTGTTGTATAAGGAGGTGATCGGCGGGCGTCCTTTTCAAACTAAGATTTTGGCAAGTTCACAAAGAGGAAAACTGAAGCTCAAAACTTAAGGAAATCTCATCAAGCAATGATTTATGGGTCAAATTTATACTCCTCCATCTAGGTCATATCACAGATTGTTGATGATGAAACTCAAAGAAACTTCTTAATGACTGATTTATGCACGGGCTCCACTCCAGACTTCTGATGTGTGATTTTTTTGATTTCATTTCAGGCTGATGTAGTTGGGGGGAAAAAAATCCACATGACTTTGCCCTTCAAGTGTTTTAGTCTAAACCAATTTAACGGATCATGCAAATGGTATGGAAATGTGCCCCAGTTACAGTGTGAACTGCCACATACAATCAGACCATTGCTTTATGATTGCTGGTGCTCCTTTGAGTCTTGAGCTGAAGCTCTGCAGTTTTTGCATTGTCTCTGTGTCTGGGGGCTTTTTTTTGGAAACGCATAGATACAATTCAGATTGAGACAGTGTTTGTTTTGGTTTCTACAGCTGCTGTCCCACAGAGAAGAGGTTTTCTGGATGCAAACATTACTCATGTCTCCTTTTCTCTTGAGATTTTCCAGGATTTTAATAATACTGTATTTATTTAATCGCCATCACAAGCGGAGCCATTTGAAAACGAGTTTCTTAATGTTTTGTATTGTAATAGATGTGCTAGTTTATGAGCAGGTGTTTGAGTTCTGAAACTGTACCGATGTCATCTCCTAACTGCTGTCAAGATATTTTGGCTGATTTAAAGAAGATGTTCATGACATTTCATAATTACACAACAGCTTTAACGAAAACCAACATATGTCACCAGCATTTACCTAAAGTGATGGTGATGATGAAAGTTGCCGTTTGTCTTAAAATTGTTGAGTGTAAATCTGTGAAAATACGGAATTAGAAAGACAATCCACCCCAAAGTTACATGAGTGACATCATAGCTTTCACCACAAGCTCCTCAGAGCTACTGAAGACTGAGATGGACCAGTCCATTACATTCACAAAGCTGTAGCTTTCATCGTCACCAGACTTGTCATGAGTTTACCCCTTTTAATGCTTAATATATGTTGCCAACACCAACATTGTGTGAGATGAGATATGTAATTTACTGAGCAGTTTTACACAAAATAAATAGGACGTTATTGTCTTCACAACAAACTATGACTTTCCTGACTTACAAAATTATCTTCTAAATACATAACATTATATGTGTAATTTAATGCACAGTGTGAACGGGATCAAGAAATGATTTGTCCCTCGCTGTTGACTATTGTACATGCTTTTCTTTTAAAAGGTCCTGAGAAGTGCACCAGAGGGAACGAGTGTAAATCTGCAATGCTGCACAAAGCGAGGACGCTTGCTCACATACCAAAGCTGTAGGTCCCAAATAAGTTGCTTCAAAGTTTTCATGCATTTAGGTAGGTGTAAACATTATTGGTTAAAAAACATTAGCTTAGAAGTTTAGTACATATCATGCAGGGTGTGACTTGGTTTCCACTAGTGTTTTTTTTTTTTTTTTTTGTGCTAAAAGTATTAACACAATGACCTTGGTAGGTAATATGACGGCTAACAGTCAGCTAAACTACTTTTACATTTCAGACTGAAAAATACAGACTGAAACTGATTGTATTCTAAATACATAACCCTGGTATTCTATTGCCCCCCATCGCTGCCAGTATTTAATTCTAACTCTGAACACTGCCAGCAATTACTTTTACCACCATAAAGTGTCTTAGTAAACTAAAAAACATATTTCTAGGAGACAGGGTTTGGAATTCCACTCATGGGGGCTTTAAGTAAATGTTGATTTCACTTTTTTCCACACCGCCAGTGTCGATCTGCTCTGACACCACAACGAGAACAGCTGTCTCTGGTGAATGATGACAAGATTTAAGGTTGTTATGGCAACAAATGCAAGTTGCATGCACTGAGAACCAATTTCCTACTGCGTGCACATCTGTAAACTCTACGATGCAATGGACAATGCAGGTTTTGCTGAGCAGAAAATATTCAGAATTAGGGCTCCAAGAGCTACATTGGTCTGTGTGATGGTTCTCTGATGGTCTGTGTTGTGTAGCAGCAGAATGGTGATTGTTCAGTGGCGTGCAGGGAGAACTGAGGTGAGAAGAGCAGAGAAACACAGAGACTCAGCCGCTGTCACAGCTCGGCCACTTCAGTCTCCATCAGTGTACGAATGCTTCAGCTCCTTCATGGCAACAAGGTCAAAGTGTCATCAGAGGGGCAGCTGCTACAACACATTCTGCTTTTATCACCCCAAAACACCAGAGAATACTTCATTTGCCTTCTCAGCTTGTCAGTCTGAACACTGAGGAGCTTCCAGTGAAATGCTGTTGCGATTTAAGCATTGATTAAAGTTGTTTCTTTTCTTCTTATCGGTGCTTGTTTATGTCCTGTAATATAAAGCTACGCAAACATCCTGTGATGACTTTTCTAGTATCTAAACCTCCTATATTGTTGTTGCAAGCTTTTGCCCCTTTGGACACTCATCTTATAAAAAGTGGAAGAACAACAGAGCAGAGCGTGGGAGCGTTGAACGTTGAGAGGAGAAAGCTGTCGAGTCCCTGAGAACTGTTGGTCCGGTGCGTTGGTCTTAGACTGCTCCCCTGCATATTGTTGGAGGGGCTTTAGACCCATTGACTCCTGCCCATATTAATCTGGCTAAATACAGGGGTATTACTGCAATGTCAGCGCAGCAGCTCCTCTTGTTCTTTCACATCTCTCCACGGGGTGCATGAAAGCTCGACTCCTTGGGAAACAGCCTCTCTCATTTCCTTTACGGATGAATCTCCAGGGTGACTTCATACACTCGCTGCCTTGTTTCATTAACCATTTCTCAAACCGAGTACACTAGCTGCTGGAAAATCCCATCTTAATGCATCCGATGTCTTCCAGGTCTCCATGAGAACCAACCATGAAACAGACAAACCATGCTGATTAGCTGCCCATCAGATTACACTCTGTGTGCTTAGATTAATGTTTCTCGAGGAGCATTTTTACCTTTTTTTTTTCTTCTCGCTACTGAACTTCAGGGCTTTTGTGTTTGTAGAGCTTTTTGTGTTTTCGCAGTAATCTATTAAGAGGCTTTCAGTGAGAAGATGATTCATTGGTGTGCGCTCACCAGTGTGAGCTCATCTCCGTTCAGCTCTCGGGTCCAGTAGGTTTTGGGGCCGTCGCCGTCCACCAGGGTCTGCTGACAGTGAATCTTGTTCTCTGACTCCCAGGTGGCGAGACTCTGCAGGAGGAACGACAACAAGGTGGGAAGGTCAGTATGACGATCTGTGAGATATATCTTCAAGTAACACTTTCACAGGATGATTTTTCTTTCTTTAACTGACACAATCACACACACACAAGTACGGTTGTTTCAGGATGTGCAATGAGCTCACTCCGACTTGCTGATCTATTGTTTCAAATTTGACTCATTACTGAAACTGAAACTCATTACAGAAACTTGATCATAACTGCCTCACTGGTCTGGGGGGTCAGAGGTGGGTTTTGCTGCAGATGTAACCACACCCAACAATGATGTCACAGCGTACTGACATCCTGAAGTACACATCCATATCACTGCAGGATGGTCTGACGTTAAATAACTGGAGCTCAGCAAAAGACAATGTTAAATTTCACTTCATGTAGTCTGACTCACCGAATGTACAATTCAGGTAAAGGCTGCTAATGCATTTATTTATCAAATTTTCTAACTTGAGACTATTAAACAGATTTTGAGATAACATTGATCCTAATCTTACAACTACATGGCCAATTTCTAGCCTGAAACTTCTTTTAGCGGCTGGTTTTGATGAATAGTTTAAAAAAAAAATGACAAAACCACACGCCCAGGAAAAAACAAAAGTACACACACACTATAAAAAAAGACACATAACTTTTGTTTTTTAAAAACTCTAAAAAAAATTCTCTCTCTCATTATTCTGGCATTTAGCAAATAGAAATAATTTTGGGAATCCTAACTGACCTAAAACAGCAAAAGTTCAGTCACATTTAATGTCAGACAATGAGAAAAAAAAAGGTTATATGTCTTTTTATACAATTTATGTAAACTTATGGTTTCAACTGTATGTCCAAATCTCTGCGGACGTCATGCCCCTGTATTTATATTTTGTGCACTTTTGCTCTGGGGTTATTTTCCACAGTTCAGCCATTCTAGTTCCAATTACACACAATGATATTTTTGGACAAACGTTTGCTTTTTACTCATTAGTTCCAGTTTTGATGTGATGAACTTGAAATTCCTGCACAGAGTTCTGACCTCAACCACGTCCAACACCTTCAAACTGGAACATCCTCTTTGTCACCCAACATCTATACCCTGCCTCACTGATGCGTGCGGCTCGATTGGAGCAATAATCCCTGCACATCTTATAGAACTCCTTTCCAGAACAGTAGAGGTAGTCATACCTGCAGCTACATTCATGCCATTTTTTCAAGAAAGAATCACATCACACAGGGTTGAAGGGTTTAAGTCCTCACATACAGCCTTAGCGAAAAAAAAACTAAATCATCCATGGCCAGACCTTAATGACTAAAGAATGTAATGTTATAATTCTGCCGGACTCTTTCGCTGACTAAAAGTCAACTAAAATCCTCTTAGCATTTTGGCTGGTCAGGGTCTCCATCAGCTAATTCACTTCAATTATATCTAAAATGACCCTAACAGGATTACTCAGACTTTAACTTCAGGATTAATCACTCCCGAAGTAAGTGACACAAATTGCCCATCAGAGCGTAAAGAATTCATAAAAGATCAGCACCAAGGTGACCCTGTGGTGCTAATTTGTGCTAATGGAGAGGAGTTATCATTTTGGTCAACAAAAGTGGTTCTGTGTATGTATTCAACATTTTGGAAATACACTTCTTGTGAGAGTTAGATGAGCACATCACTGTCAGCAAAACAGCTAGTCTAGCTTTGGCTGCTTAGAAATGTAACTTGTGAGCTGATATGTACAATATGGAAAGTTGTGTACACCAAGTGTTCAATGTTCAAGTGATAACATTGGGCATTGGTAGTGAGACTACTGCTCTTAGGCTAAGGCCGTTATTCTTGCCTTCTATAAGCTAGTGAGGCTTACCCTTTAGCAAGCCACAAGCTGGTAATGTATATCCACATTTTTCTCAGATATTGTAAAATTAGGAAGAAAAACTATGTACAGCTAAGACTAGAACATATTGACACAACATCCACTGAAAAAAAGAATTTCAATGAGTGCATCACAACTGAGCTTTAAGCAAATTTCCACTTCAGAGGTCATGAATACCACAAGATATGGGTGATCACATGTCCTTACTTCATGAACACAGTAAACACAACTCCATTTCAAAGCAACATCTGTTTAATGGTATTGAATTCCAACTAGCAGTTAATCTAAAGCTCAGTGATTAAAATGTTATATTTTGTTTCATATGAATACAAGAGTTAAGACATATGAATTAGATGTTGCAGTTGGGTAGAACAGAGCTTAGCAGTTTTTCTTTGAGCCTGTTGGCTGATAATTACTGGATGGATGAGCACTGATCTTCTTCGCTATCTCAAGAAAGTAAATAAGAGAATTTCCCAAAGCGCTAAACTTGGTTTATCGCTAAAGTCTTCCATGTATTCCGTATTTGTCACATTTTCTCTTTTCATGTTGCTGTCTGAGTCTCATTATGGGTTCCCACATGGCTGAATTTTGTTTTTTCTCAATACAACCAGCTGCATCTTCCTTTTCAACACAGCATCTTAATCTAGTGATCCCACTCCAAAGCCTGGAACTGATCATCCAGCATTTTAAATCCAACTAAATAAAAAGCTGGGCAGCCTTAACATGACAACCCATAATGGGTTTCCCATTATTTTCTAACGTTGTAGCTTTGTAGTGTTGCTTCCAGACAGTTTGATAATTTGAACTGTTTTGTACTAAAAACCGCTCAGTTTTTGGGTGCAGCAGCCTCGGTTTCTCAGAGGCAAATGTTAATCACCATATCAAAGGTAGGCTAAGGGAAACCATCATGGATCCCTGCGGGCTGCCATCCACAGACTTTGGCAAGCTGAAAAACAGCAGGGCTTTTCTGCAGCTTTTCCTTAGAATTTTTTTTTTTTTTTTTTTTTTACATCTCTTTGTAGTCATTTTATATCTCATATAAGTTTATTTGATCTCTACTCATTTTAGGACTAATTTAAGTTTTGTGTTTAGTTTTTAAAAAAGCATATTTTCATTACATTCTGGTTAAGTTCTCTTTNTTTTTTTTTTTTTTTTTTTTCTGAGTAAAGCCAGAACACAGAGTCAATTAGCTACGGCTTCATTTTAGCACCAGCATCAGTCTCAGTCTCTGACTTAGATGGATTTTCTCAGTCACAGACCAATTCTCACACATAGTTTTCTCATCCAAAGAGATTGTGTACACACCTTTAAGACCAAGATAAATTCATCCTGTGTCCACAGCGTTTGTCTACCATGTCCTGTTTATTCGCTAGCTTTTTCCTTCACAGAAACATCTACTGCTCTTGGTTTTGGTTGACTCTCTCACTGCTTATCCGATGCAAACAGTGTGTCGAAAGCAGGAGAACATCTCATTTCCTGTCCGGCTTTAGAAGTTTTTATGTTGGATTTTACAGCGTGTCTTTCAGAGCCCAAAATAACACAGTCACTCTGCTTTTGGACTCATCTTTTCCCACAGTTTGATCACATTATCTCAGTGTTTACACATCTCTTTTCCCGGTAGCTTTAAAATGTGAAGCAACATTTTTCATGTAACTTTTAAAATCAGTTCATTTTTTGAGAAAAATGCCACATGTAAATGTTTGGGACAGTGCAGAAGAGCAACTTTAACTGATAGCCACTTTAAACTGAGAGCCAGAAAAAGATCAGTAAAAAATGTCAATTTTTTCATTGACCAGTAAGAGTGGTCATTCCACTCATCTATTATAAAGAGAAGGCTTTTCTAGGCCATATTTTTCTGTTATTCCTTAATAATTTTATGAGATACTAATAATACAGCATACATTTCTACACATTAAAGGGGAAAATAAAGAAGAAAAAACATTCCAAAAACATTTTCTAGAAAATTAGTATTTAAGAAAACAACCTCCATTTTAACCTGTTTATATTTTTAACCTGTTTATATTTATGACTTCATTAGTTGTTTATCATCAAAAATACACTTTTTCACAAATAATATAATCTAATCTGTGGCCAAATGTATATTACATATATATTTTTTTGCATGTTCAGCCATTATATGCTGCATGAGAGAATAATTTAAATGACTTTACAGTCCACCTCAGCTCCACTCCTGCTCCATCTCTTTGCTCATTTTTGGATTAGCTGGGAGTTATGAGGCTCTACTGAGAGCCAGAGCAACAACACTGAGCTTCACAGCTGTTCTTCAGGACATCATCTACAGTTCACCCATCTTTCTTATCATTTAAAAACTGGGATTTTTAAATAGTATAAAATCATTAATGTCCTTCCTGAAGATTGTTTCTGACCTCACAGTTGCAATGTCCATATTTTCCTAAAATGTGCAAAGACCCAAATAGAGACAAAGAACTAGAACAATCTCAATCCCACAGACATTTATACATGTTGGGAAGTCAAAATTCAGCCTCTAAACAGTATTGTTTGAGTTACATAAAAGGGTGGTCTTTTGAGAAAGGATCTAATTTTTTTTTTTTTACTTATCTGATCATATTTTGCAGCCTTCAGTGGATTTCAAATAAGACCCAGACTTTGACAAGCCAAACGTCACAGTAAAGAAATGAGTCCATGGTGAAGTCAAGGGGTAACTGACTCCAGTGTAGATAGGCATGTGCAATTGCTCAATTAGCGCATCTGTTTTTGTTTTATTGTCATTGCTGTTATTCTATTTTTATTTATTTGTTTATTTATTTTTTACTTCAGATCCTGTATGAATCATCTATGAAAAACTTTCCACTGGGACAGTTAAGTCTATTGTATGTTAAGTAGAAGTAGCTGTTTCAGTGATCCTCATAAGTACATGTTGTTTTTCATAGACTGTTGAAATAAATGCTGTGCAGGACTAATAAATGTGATGCCATGACTTTTATTCTCCAATATACCTGCTAAATTGCCTTTAATCTTTAACAGATCGTCATAAATCAATGTGAGGAGCACAAAGAATGACAAAGATTCTTGCAGCCCTGAACCCAATATTTTGCCCCCAGTGTTTATTAGATGCTGTCCAGGAGAATCGCTCTTGCCAAGACACTCAAATTTT